AGGTACTGTGTTTACCACTTCAGAGCGGAAGGATGCTGCAGATTCGCGGCAAAGTGAGAAGACATCCCCCGCGCAGAATGTCTTCCGCATCAATATGGCAAACAGGGACGGGCACATCACATGTGCGCGGGAGGGGAAATGATCCGCCGGGATGACTACCCACGAAGACAAAGAAGCCACAGTGCGTTGCAACGATGTCGATGACCAATAAGCCCGATCTTGAAGGTTGGTCCGATGAGTATCCATTAACTGAGACACAACTGGCTGTAGATCTGAAAGTAGACCGGAACCATGTACATGCCAGCGGCGAGCAAGTTTGCGAAGTTGTGTGGTGAAACGTTGATGCAATAAGTCGACATCACCGAAAAACTGATCCTTCATTGAGGCGGTCATGATTTCAATGTTAATGTCCGCATTGATGCGAGAAAACTCATCCACCATTACTGCGTGACCATGTGCACGGTGTAGATGGCTATCATCGATGTCCAAACAGCGACACGGAAAAGATGTGTCAGGCGCCCATTTGCGCTGCCATGTGCGATAGTTGTATATCTTGTCGCCCAATGTGGCGCTGCGAGTTTCCACAACCCGGATCTTTGGAATGAAAAGAGAAGGGAACAGATCCCGATGAGAAGCAATCCAGCTTTGTAACCATGTGCCCAGTAGAGCTTTCCAATTCTGGACATGCAGCGGCGGCAAAAGTAGCTGTGTTAAAGTGGTGGGTGGTTGTAGCCGTCGTTTGCGCAGTACCTGGGCGAGGAGCTTCTGGGCCTTGGAGCGGAAGGGCTCGTTGACAAATACTGCGAGCCGCAATAAGTAGTACAGCTGAGTGGGAGGGAAAGCGGCTGACAGTAGGTCACGCATGACTTGGAACGACGCTCCTGTATTGGATCCCAGCTGATAGAGGATCGAGTAGTGGGCTTGAATGTCATCCAGGGTGTCAGGTCGTAGTTGCCGTTGGAGATCCGGATGTAGTCGTCGTCGAAAGCGCTTGTGCAAGCCGAGGGAAGTGGGCGACGACAACGAGTGGCGTCGAAAATCTACAAGATGTTCCCGGAAGCCCACCTTGCGCAAGATTCTGTGTACCCAGGGCGCATTCAGATGCGGGCGTAGCAGGTATTGCCATTTGCTTTCTTGAACCCATACCGAGGAAACTGGAAGTTTGATTTCCACTGGTACAGCACAGAAGAGCCAGTAAGTATTGGATCGTTTCCAGTAGTGAAGCGCCGGTTCAAAGAAGGCATGCCGTCCACGAAGTAGTTGTAGAAATTTGCGACTGCGTGAGTGTTCACGACGTAGAAC